CTCCGCTGCCACCCGCAGGACCCGCCGGGCCCGGGCAGCGCCGCCGCCTGCCCGCGCGCCGCAACACGCACCCTGCAGCCCTGTCACACTAACCCCAACACACACCCACCCTGGCAAACACACGCGCCCCTATCCCCCGCGCAACCCCTCCGCACGTGGGGAAACTGAGGCACAGTGGAAGTTTCCACCCAGCCCCAAGGCTGGAGCCCACCACTACGCCAGACCCACCTGTCCCCTGCAGCCCGGGCACCGGCCGCCCCTGGGCTCCAGGCGACGGGCAGGGCAGCTGCTCCCTCTCACGGACGGGCCTGGCCCCGCGAGCTCGGAGCCTGTCCGAGGCCCTGCTGCACCCAGCTCAGACAACCCCCGGCCCGGGAGGAGCCCTGGGGCTGTAGCTGGCTGTGCTGATGGATGTCCCGTGAGGGCCCCAGTGGGGCTGGGAGACCCTTGTGCGATCCCCTGGGCAGGGCGCAAGTCCCCGTGGAGGCAGGGGGGAGATGCGCCTTGACAGACAAAATAAGACAATGTGCAAGCTTTGGGCAACCCAGGTTGGCTTCGCCAGATGCTGCCGTGCAAAGACGTGTCCCTGGGCTCGCAGGTAGTTCTTCCCTGCAGCATTTGCACGTTCATTTTCTTTACCTGATGCCAGGGCCGGTGAAATTTAACTCCAAGAAGTGAAAGCAAAAGACTGGTCTCCCGCACCTCATTTCTCCGTCACACCCAGCCCCTCGGTCAACAGCAGGAAGACTGACACTTTGTTTTAGTCCCACCTCCATCATGGCCAGGTACGGAGGTGGGCTGGGCCCCATCCTCACACCCTCAGCACCCAGCCTGGGACAATCGCACTGCAACGGTCACATCCGTAGCCAGGCTGCAGCGGCACTGGCAATTCCTGTCTTGGCTGGACAACAAGCAAGAAAAATGGGGGTCTGTATTGTTTTTGAAGCCTGAGAAGTAACCAGATTCCTTATGCAATATAAAAATAATTAGGCATCGGTTATTTAACCCAGGGACTTGACTGCTTCTCATATTACACAACTCTAAACCACCCACCACAGCCAGCTGGCAGAGGTATGGGATCCGCAATGGACCCCTGATGCAAACCTCCTCAATAGCGCTGCACTACTACATCAACCTTTCACTGCAGCACGTTTGAGTGCTCTGCCCTCACCTCCAAGGCCCTACACACATCTGGCCCGTGCCTGCTGCTCTGCTCCCATTTCCTCCCACGCCTGATCCATCCTTACCAGCCTCCGGGTCTCCCCTCCCTACTGTTCCTTTTGTCTGGTGCAGTCTCAAAGTGGTTCCGTGAGCGCATGGATTGACTCTTACATGGCATCATGCTTCTTCAAAGCCTATTCCTACGCCTTCATTGCAGCCTCATGCTTAATCTGTTGCCCTGTGATTTATTTCTGTGGGAGATTATAATCTCTTCAAAGCAGGGCCTTGTCTCTTTACTTGCTTTGCAAGGTTCCCATCCACTTAGAACGCTGTATCAGTCCTAAGACATGCAACATACTTCAAGAAATGCAAGTGAAGTAACAAGACAGCAGGACAGGAGAGGGGACTGACAGCAAGAATCTGACACAGCTCTGGTCCTAATGTTTTTAAGCGCTCTGTTCTTCTTTCCATTGCCATCTTGCAGCTATCTAGTTTGAGAACAGATCTTCATTCTCTGCACTTGGTCGAGCAGGGAGCTAATGTGCTACCCGCTTTGCTTTACTAATACACTGTCATCTGGGCAGCAGTCGAGAGGCAGGATCCAGCACCACAAGTGAGGTGGACAGATCTGCACAAGGAAACGGGCAGAAAAGAACGATGCACGTGAAACTGGTGATTTCTCAGGTGGAGAGTATGGACATTATTGTAATATCTTGATGAATAATGGGCGTGACTCAGTTTATTTGTGCCTGTTGGTTGCTCTCCTCTGGCTGTGAAGACATCAGTTCTTCCTTGAGAGTAGGTGAGAAAGAGGGAACCATCAAGGACTGCATGTTTGAATGGGGAATTCCAGAGAGGCAGTGCTGGCAATAATACTCTAAAAGAGAGCGGCTTAAACTTCTCTGCGGAGCAGAATAGGGAAAACCGGAGAGGACAATGAGGCTAAGGTGTTGCTGTCTGGGGTTAAGAATTGTATGAGATGAAATGGATCCCAGGAGATCACACAGCACATCCGGTACTTGCTCCTGCTTCTGTGAATTCTGCCTTGAGCTCATCTTGGCTAGGCTAAGGGCTCTGCATAACTGTCTCCACTTGGCTAATAAATGCCAGTTTGTTTGGAACAGATGACTGTGTCGCTGCAACTACTACTAGTTGCCTTACTTCCCTTGAAGGGTAAATTCCCATCAGCGGTTGAACTAATCTGGACCTGCTGGTAGAGTCCTGGAGGCAATGGGACTGCTGTAACCCAAATGTCCAGGCTTGGAGCTAAAGGAGCAATGGGCCTTACCTTATAAAGAAGTGATGCCAGAAGCTGGCTTAAAGGGCTGCTCTAAGCTGAGGACTTGAGCAAAACCTGGTAAATCCAGGACATTGGTCAGTTCCTCCCACACCTAAAGCATGATGGAGACGTGGGAGGAATTGCAAAGGGGCAAAAACTAAAGCTACGCTTAGAAAGAATGCGAAGATAAGCCAGCCCGCGGCCCTTTGTTAAGACACGGTTTGGCCCTGGCACAGAGCAAGGCTTGTGTGTGGGTTAAAGGAAAATATTTTTAAAAGTGCAACTAAAAAAATATGTAAATGAAGGGGAATAATACACACATCATCTAGCAACCAACATGGCAGTAACTACTGCATTTTCCAAAGGAGCAGCTGTATTGTTGTCTCAATTTCTTGGTACCTAGCTTCTGACAGCCTGGGCCTGATGTCCTCAGTGACTTCATCTGGAGGTGAAGGTTCTCTGAACCTCTGAAAGTCAGGCATGAGGTGTTTTAACCACAATATCCCGAATCAGTGGTGCTTTTGGAAACTGTTATCTTAAAAGTTTATCAGGATCAGAATCTCAAATTCTCCTCAGCAGCCTGAAAATATAGCAGAAATAGTCACAGAAAGCCTGAGATAATGCAAGGCGACTTTTGAATAGATACTGTATAGACTTTGGCTCACGAGTCAGCTTTTCTGGTATATATAAAAACAGAGGAATAAAACAGAGCAGCAGCAAGGAGCATAGGATGGAGGTAAATCTAGGTCTAAAATGAAGAACATTGGAGATATAATAGAGTACTTGAACTTGGAAACCAATAGGGGTATCAATTCTCTAAGGAAAATAGTTTTTGCTGCAAAGCTGAGGGAAGAGGTGGTTGTAAACGAGAATAATGTGCCTAAATTGATGTGAAGACTGAAGCCATGTTTTAATTCCCCGTGTAAATGTACCTAGTGGTGGATTCCTTCTAAGCAGTCCAGCTGGCTGAACTGTATGGTTGAAGGCATTAGCAGGCATAATGTGACCACTCAAAATGGAAGTAACATAACACCATTTCTGCCAGGTGATATACAGCTGTTTGGAAGCTGAGATTCTTATTCTCTCTGAGCATTCTGATTCCAAAATGCAGACCAAAAGATATAAACGCTTCTGTCTATATCAGGATTGTGCTAGAGACAGTTATCCTTGAGGCATTCATCTCTACACTTCTAATGTAAAGGTTAGGTGAATGTACTCGCCAAGTAACTTTACCTCTCTGTTCTAGCACAGAAAAAGGCCCATGGTAAGGCTGGATGCAATATCATTTCTTTGTATGAGCATGTGTTGAAAACCATCACTGAATATTTTAAAACAAAGCATTGATTTTGGAAGCAGATATTCACAAGCTTCCTTCGTGCCAGTGCCCTGCCCTTTCCACTGAAAAGCAGTCCTGTCGTTGGTGGCTATGCGCCTTGAACTGAAGCAGAAATTGAAATCAGACAATATGACTAAAAACTAAATTAGCACTGGGGTAATATCCCCGAACGTATTATTATTCCTTGGGCACCAGAAGAGAATCTAATTAAAAGTTTATTTAATATTAAAATACAAACTGCAAGATTAGGTTGCCTGTTTTGTATTTGAGCAATATGCCAACTAATAAATATGTTGTTCTTCATCATGAGAAGTTGTGTGTGTAAATGCAGAATTTTTTTTAAACGTGTGTGATCATAACTCTGATCAGAATGGTGACAATATAACTGATTAGTATCCAGCCTACTTTAAAAAAAACAAACAAACCCCAAAACCCTCAAGCACAGTTACGTTATCTTAGAACCTGGTGTTTCAAACAAAACAGGACACTTCCTTGGAGTATACCACACATATCATAAAAGCTCAAGAACAATGGCACTCCGCTATGGTGCACTGTGGCAAAACATTACACAACATGAAGGTCAAAAGTAAAATAACGATCAAAATGATCTGCAAACATGGCCAGTGGCAACCACACTAGCAACACACATATACCAGTTTGCAGCCAGCCTGACAATGTCAGTATTGCTTCTACTGCCTGAGAATGTATAAAGAAAGCACTCATTACAAATGAAAGTCCTCTGAAACTGCTCTGCATGAAATTCTCAGAAAAGATACTGGTGATATGCAAACCCTAAGGCCAAAATGAAAGCGTGCTCGGCCCCCTTTCACCCATCAACAGCGAACTTCCTGCAATCTCATACTGAAGGCTTTTGTGTCAAGTATTATTTTCTAAGAGCCACGATGCTTCCTTTCATTGTACGCAGTCTTTCTTTGTGCACGGGAAGCAGATAATTGGAGGTGAATTTTAAATCGAGACCAAAGTTGAAATGTAAGTACATACTGACGATAGCTAAACATTCCCCAAGGGAAGATACCTGCATGCGAGGACTTGTTTTGAAGAGTATTTACACTGATAATTATTCTTGAATGACTCCTAATGGAATCTTAAATGGCAAACTACAAAACAGAGGCAATAAAGAACAAAAACTCTTTTACAGAGAGGACTAGAGAAGAAAAAGATATCAAGAAAGTTTCAAGTATCCTGGCCCCACGTCAGACTGGAAGGGGCATGAAAAGTACCTAGCTGGCCCTCTCTTGCAGATAAGTCCACGTATATGTCTATATGCCATATGTCTAGCTCCATAGCACTCTGCATCTCCCCACTTTGAGCCTAAATGAATGTTGATAAGGCATCAGACCAAGTTACAAGAAGGTTGTGTGTTGAAGATATCCACATGGTCCTACAGAACATTCATCAAAACTGAGCTAAAGGAAGAGAAAACCAGAGGGCATGGAAGAGAATTTAGCTCCAAGTATTTCCAACAGAATCTGTGAAAGTTAATTTCTACATCTTAAGCCTAGAGAATACACTTTGATTCATACAGCTCTTTGATCCTGTGACCCCCCCATCACACAAGAAATGCAAGTCTGTAAAAAAAAAAAAAAGAACACATACATTTATTTTCTTTTGTTTGTTCAATGGCTTGCTCTTAATTTATACAGAACAATACTTAAATAGAATTCCAGTGCGTAGAGATGCATTTAAAATGAGTCACAACAAAAAAAAATTAAAACCTAGCTACATACTTTCAATAGAAGATGTCTAGCATATATTTGTAGTTGATTTTGCCACAGAAGCTTCATGTTGCCTTATGAATAATATAAAAGTTCAAAATTACCTAGGAGTTACTATTTACAGTATAGGCCAGTTGCTCTATAAAATGGAGAGCAAAGTGAGTGCAAAAGGATAACATGATTGTTTTCAGAAAACAAGCTGCCTCTGTTTACTTCCTTCTTCATATTATAAATTGAATTCATACCACTATTTAAAAATAGTTACTATTTTTAAAAATAGTAAAATACACGATAAACGGATCAATTCCTCAAGTGTAACAAAAATATGTTTAAAATATAGGTGGCTGTCTGAAGTACAAAATATTGCTGTGTGTAAAGGATAACATGGTTGTAAAACTACTGTTGAGGGCTTACAAAAATACAAAACAATTTGCATTCGCTGAGTGCATAATTATATGTTAGTGCAAACCAAAGCATATCCAAATTTAATAGATACAAGTCTCAAATATTTGCAGAGGTACGTAAAACATGGAATCGCTTCAGTGTCATGCGGATTGAACCCAAATCTCTATTAATCCTTTCCAAGCGATTTTCCAAGGCTTCCTAAAGAACATATTTGAGAAAAATAAAAAATTAAATTCCATGCAATTCCAAGTGATGGTGTTTTTATAAAGAATATCCTGTTAGTGTCCCCATTTTGCATTCATGTTCTTTCTGATGCATAAGCAGCCATACCCTGGCACCAGGGTATCTGCCTACGTAAACCAATCCTGTGGCTTAATTGCATATATACTGCTTAACTAAACTATTAATAAATTGGTTTGTTCAAAGGCCAATGAAAACAGTGTCTCTGCAAGATATTGATCTAAGCGATAGCATCCTTTTCCGGTGCATCTTGTCAGATCTCACGAATACAAAGTGGGTCTGGTCAGGTCAGTACTTAAGTGGGACAGATCTATGGAACAGTTACTCGCTGCAATATATGGTGATATTTGTTCCGTACATTGCATTCTGATTAGCAGTGAAAAACTGCAACTACAGCCTGGTTTGGGGAGGCAGTGTGCTGGTGGCTTTCTGCTGAGAAATGAAACAGAAGTTTCTGACCCTTTGTGTTCATTAACCTCACCCCCAGAACTTTCCATAGAAGCAGCAGCTTGAATGCTGGCATCACCCCTCTTTATGAATTACTTCTGCCTCCACAAGTTCTTTTTTACACTTTGAGATGGGTAAGATGTTTTTCACACTGTGTTCTAAAGAACTGTGCTCTGCTAAACAGCTTCAGTGTCCTGTTCTAGAAGAACCTGGATTTTATTAGTCATTCTTGAATTTTTTTTACCCCTTATTTACACTCTCAGGGGTGCTTCTATGTTTAACAGTTCAATGTTTGCACGATATAAAATATTTGGAAACACTGCTCCTACATGCAAATAATGAATATGCAAAATACTAGCATATGCTGCATGTTTATGATTGGAAGGAAAGGAAAGGAAACTTTCTGTTTACTTGTGAGAAAAAATTCAAATGAGCGTGCAGGGAGTTCACACTCTGGCTCACATAAGTTAGCCTAATTTAAATAGTGTTTTACATCAGTAGATCCAAGAAAGACTACCTTATTTTCTCATGAAACAGAAAATATAGTGTGAGCCTCTACCAACTGGGAGGACAGTTGAAAAGATCAGTCACTGATACATGATATAATGAGTATTTTCACCTGATTTAATCTTGTTTGCAAGGTCATTCTTCCCCCAGCACAAGGTATTCGACTTAAGGCAGCTTCAATCTAGTAATACAGAAAATACCACAGCTGTAAATGATTACAGCTTCAAGAGCAAGTAGAAACCTACCACACATCTTTCATCTGCAAAAAAAGTCAGGGATAGATTAGAAGTATAAATGCAGTGTAGTTATTCAGGTATGACCATCCTTTGCCAGGTCACCAAATAATATACTCTATCAGTAAACATGCATCCTGCTGCCCATTCTTACAAAGATGTTTTGAAAGAAGAGGACACTCTTCCAAGTAGATTCCAGAATAGCCCAAGATACCTGCCTTTCATTTTTGAAAGGGAGACTTCAAATCTTGGCATATTGCAAACGAAAATAAATAAATTCAATCTAGTCCCTCCCTCCCCATTTCTCTTAAGAGGCATAAAGAATGTCAGAAGAGACAAAGTATCAGAATTTCAGTAAGCAAGGATAAAGGTGTGTTGTCAGAACACCACTGGGCATTTTCCATTACCTTGTGCCAGGTCCCATGCAGGTAGACTGCAATACCACAAGCTTCTCCTAGACACACTGTTTCTTTCACAATTCTGGAATAAAGATCATTTTACCTGTTGCTTTTCTTGTGTGAGCTCATCAAAAAGTCTCTCCGTTTCAGCCAATGTCTTAATCCTTGCTGTGTACTTGAAGTCTGCCTCATAAGGTGCTACTGGTGCAGGAACGCATTGTTCATTCTTGTGTGTTATATTCCTCTCTTCCCAGGCAGACCCCACAGTTCCTTTCTTCATTCCAGGATGCAAAGATTCAGCACAAGAATTGTAGTTAACACAGCTGTTGATGCCCTTATCAGAATGCTGCCTTCCTATCAAAAAAAAGGAGTGGTTTTGTTTTTGTTTAAATTCTCCATGAATATATGATCTAAAACAGAAAATAAACCAAACCACAGAAGTGCTGACTCCCTGCCATCTTTTAGGTATGAAACCTAATTTAGTGAGTAACAAAGTCTTTTTAGCCGGCCTCCCGGAGTCCCACGTTAGCAACATCACAGCAGATACAGGACATTCGTTTGGCTAGCCTTTGATGGATTTTGATGCAAGGCACAATTTGTAGTTAACAAGCTGTGGGTTCTGCTATATTCCGCAGATTGACAATTGTTTTTACTGATGCAAGTTTTCCCAAGTTTCTTCATGCCTGGCATCACAATGGTATTCTAAATAAGTTAGCCAATGCAAAAATAACAAACAACAACAAAAGTAAGAATTGGTTTGACTCATCCAATTATTTAAAAAAACTCCAAATGAACTGGCTGTGTTACATTTACCTTTCACCATCTGTTGGCAACACTTTGTAACAGAATCTTATTAATAAGACTGGGTACATACCACTTAATATGGCTCCCAGCAATATATGCTCTACTTAACTAACTTAGGTATTAGGGAACGCATTTCCTCTCTTATTTTTCAATGCAATGATTTTTATTAGCCTATTGTCCTCGTGCAGGTACACATAAAAATGAACTACTGTATTCATGCCACTTTGCTATATCTACAAACAACATTATTATACCATTTATTTACTGTAAGATAAAGGCTACAAAATTGATAAGGATTTTGAAAGTTGCACTTCATAGAAAACTTTTGTGATTCCTATATACACATCTCTTATCTAGTTGGGAGAAGCTATGATAAAGAAAATACTCCCTTCTGCAAGATTAAAGCAAATAAAAGAAATCTTTCCCCTATTTTGACAAGTTACCTTCTATATCATCTAGTGAGAGAAATTGGAGTCTTTTTCTTGGATTGCTATGTTGTGGTGTAGAAGCAGCAGCAAGATCCAGATCATCCAGAAGTATATCAAACCTACAGAACAACAGGGGTGGAGGGGGATTGGAAATGACTAATCATTAGAAATAACTCTGAGCTGAAACATAAACTACTTCCTATCTTTCCCTGTCTTAATATATAAGCAAACCATTTCCTCTTCACTGGAAAACCTGATCCCTCCGGGTACCTGCCCTTGAGTTCTTCTGTTTCTACACATCAAACAGGAGCAACAAATCATGAAGCAATTTTACCAAAGGAGGATGCCAAACCCTACTCTCAAGAACACATTAAATGTGACACTCAGCCCCTGAAGTTATGCAAGGGAATAAATGTTAAACTTCTGTGCATAAGGAGAAAGGAATAGAATACCTTTACTCCCCCTGCACACCCTCAGGGGTGAGAGTGTGGTCACTGTAGCTCCACCACATCCTGCTAACTAGCATATCTAGCAAATGTTCAGGGAACGTGTATGAAATGGCAGGAGGTTTAATCCAACAAGAATGTTTCTACAGATGGGTGGAAAAGAATAGGAAGTGCTCTCTTCTACCCATTTTTTTGGTACATCTTGTCTCCCTAAATGAGGACCCTGGTTTACTCTGGGCTGACAAAGGACAATATCTCCGATACTGGTCAATATTATCCCGTCAGATATAATGATATACCCAGCACTACACCTTGGCAAGCTAAGGGGAACTTTCCAAGTTTATTCTTGCCTTATTTCAAAAAGGAAGCTTAACTTCAGGTGCAAGGCCCAGTCAGGCAATCCCCTCCTCTAAAGACAGCACCCATTTCACACATGAGCCTTTTCACAGGATTACTTGCATGAACAAAGACTATTCTCACTGGGCTATGGACATGCAGTATCACTCCTGAATACAATCAGAAAATAATAATGAACCAATATTGCAAATTTGTACCTTGTCACTGTGTTTTCATTTTTGCTAAGCAAGTGGCTAAATCCAGGAGATAGGTTTTCCTTTGGTGATCGTTTTGGACTGTATGTCACAGACACTGGTGCCAACATTATCTCTCTTCTTGCTGCAGAGAAGGACAGGCTTTTAAGTACCTAACACTTTTCTTACCCAGAGATTTTCTTAATACAGTTTGATCCATGCAAATGGATCCCTGCTCAAGTGTCTTCAAAGAATGGTTTTCAAAGTTTTCTATGAGTTAATATCTGTTTAAATTGTGCAAAGCTTGTGTCACCTTGCCAAATGCTCAAATTACAGTTTTCAAAGTTTGCTGTCACTTGGGAGTTTTCTGAAAATCCATGATAACAAGAGAATCCTAAATTTTAAATTTCCTTCTGCTCTTTATGAAACAACCTGACATGACTAGATGCTTTTTTAAAGGGACACCAAGCAAAACTGTAAACAGAAAGGCTTACTTGGAGTGTTTGACTTCCTGTTGGAAGGAGGGAGAGATGATGACCTCTGCCCATTAGGTGAGCTGTATCTTTTTGGTCTTTGTTGGTCCTTACATTTCTCGGGGGACCGACTAGTAATGAAAGTAGTTTCATCGAATCCAACAGTCTGCCGTCGATTTGACATTTCTGTCATGGAACAAAATGTGAATTTTAATGTGTGTCTTAAAGTATATGGGACGCTGAAGATCCTCTTTCACTCAGCTCCTTTGTAACTGACTGTAAATAAACCTGTGCTTACTCCATCTCAGCTGTTTTCCATGTCAGTGTGTTTGTGTTATAATGAAAGGATATCTATTCTTAACTCTTGTCCCCACTAGAAACTGAGCTCTGTTTGACACTCATTAAAATAGATTGTTAACCTGACCTATAAGGAGAAGCTTGTTTGCAGCATAGATATGGAAGAAAAGAACTGAGCTGAAAGTAAAGTGAAGTTAAACAGCACAGGCCTGAGTAAGTGAGAAACAGCACAGGCTTAACAGAAAGTAGCAGCAGAAACTAAGCCAGCAAAAGCAGCTGAAGGGGCAGGATGACAGAGACAGGCGTTAGCAGAATAAGTCCAAAATTTTACTGACTGAATTTAAGGTCACATCTTGGAACCATATTTTGTATCACGTGTAAGCATGGCTCCAGCAATACAAAAGAAATGATTAAACACAGCTCAGTCATTTAGTACAGGTCAGAGTACACATATCTCTGTTCTGATGCTATCCTAGGAGAACAAATGTGGTTTTAAAGCCAGCAGGATTTTTTGAATACTCAAAGTGTGTACATTTCCTCAAAACTCTACCAGAGAAAGCTCACTTAGCTAAAAAGACTAGCTTATTGCAATAGTGTTCCTACTATTCTAAACAAGTAATTTAGGTTATTGTTTCAGGTTTGTTAGGCGGAATACAGATCTGACAGAGTAAGTGATGCCCACTATGAACTATTTTTACCTTGTCACCTGAGCCAGACTAGTGTGAATCTTTGGGAATAACAAACACAAAAAAACATGCAGTTTGGAGGCTGCAAGTCAAGACACGCCTAGAAATATAAATGAATTTACTGGCGGAAGTGTCGTCCTTTTCCGTCTGCGTGGTCCAATCTTTAAATGCTTTTCTTTCTTCAAGTTCCTTAAAGGCTTTCATGATTGGTGTCTCAGGTGCCTCATTTTCTTTTTTTCCAGTTACATCTGCTGAAGAGTCTTCTTGTGAAGAGTCCTTTTCTGGAGGAGAATGGTGCCTTAAATAACACGTGAAAAAAGCATATGAGGAGCCAAGCTTTTATATTGTATGCAGGCTTTCCAAATGTCAACTAAAAGATACAATCCTATAGAAATTAATTTACTGCTTTCCAGGTGGGTGGTGCAGAAGTAATGTTCTGTGTTACAAAAATCAAACTGGAGGTTCAATAATTTCTCCATTTATTCCAGGAACATCGGACTTCTAAAGCCTGGGTTACAGAATGGCGTGAGCACTCAGACTTGAGCAGCACTGGAAATGCATCCAGTTTGATGACCCAAACTTTAATCATGGACTCAAAAATCTGTGTAACAAATCTCTTCTGAGGAAATCTGCCACACTTGCAAGGAACAAGAACTCGTAAAAAAAACAACACCTGAACCAAAACACACGACTACAGAACCACCAGAGAGCTACGTCTGAGACTCTGTAATGCTGACGGGGAATAACTTTGCTGTTCAAGGACAGAAAGGAAACAAGATGGAACACTTCTGAGGGCAGCAGGCATTGGCACAAGACATACCTAAGGAGGGGTAAAACTATCTCTGCCTATTTCAACTAGACTGAGGAAGTGGATTTTTTTTTAAAGACCTCCATAGCAACTAAAGCAAAGGATACATGCTTTACAGGTCTAAATAAACTGCCAGTACAAGATTCAAAAATAAGAATCCATTCCATTGTCATGTTTTCCTATATTAAAAACATCCCTGGGTGCTGAGAAATGTGGAAAAAACCCAACCAAACAGAGCTTACCTGGAAGAGGAAGTGGACGCAACTCCCCAGAATCTGTACAGATTGGGCACTTTGGCAGGGGATTTTGGTGCTTTTGTCTAAAGCTACACAATCTATACAGATGTTGGGTAAGCCAAGCCAAACTAACACAATGCCTCTTCTGTGCTTGGAGCAGGGTCATGCTGAGTTGAAAGAAAAGTGCTAGTTCTGTTCGTTTGGTTTTTTCCATGTCTGTAAGTAGCCCCTGACTTCCCACAACATCAGAGAAGAGCAGGATTATAGAAGTTATGGTACCTGGAAGGAACGTAGGTTTCTTCCAGTCTGTTGTCCTTGGTCTCTTGGCTTTCCAGAGGCTGGCCTGTAAAAATCGAATACTCCGCTCCTGGGATCAACCACTTTCGCCTGCTGACATCAGGGGCTGCCAACTTGCTACTAAAATGTAAAGCTTCAAAATTACAAAAGACTCTAAGATTTGTTTTTAGAAGCAGCATTTATACCAGTGGCTCATCGGGGGGGGGGAAGCAGGGGGGGCAGCTCCCACTGCTGCACACACCCCAGGAGGGCATGGGGGGACATGTGCCCCCAGATCTGCATGTGGGGTGAGGGCGGGATGCTGCTATGGGCTGGGGCCAGGGCTGCGCCGAGTTCTACATGGCAGGGGGGCTGGGCTCAGAGCAGGCGGTGGTGGTGCTGGGAATCAGGGCAAATTCTGTGGTGGTTCTAGCCCCCCCCAACCCCCTCTACCAGTGCTGCCACAGCCTGCCGGCCCCAAACACAGCCCAGGCCAGCTCCTCACTGGGAAAAGCCCAGCACTGCCCCAAGCCCCAGCCCGCAGTGGCAGCCCACACACAGATCCGGAGCATACACCCTTCGTGCCATCCCAAGCTGCGTGCAGCAGCACAAGACCCACCCCCAGTCCCTGCACTCCCGGATAAGCCACAGCTCCATCCTGTACCCAGCCCACCCCAGCTGGGCAGCACCTGCCCCTGCCCCAGCCCCACTCCCTCCCTTACCACAGGGGCCTTGATCTGCGCCCCCACACCCCTTCCCTCACAGACTTACCAGCTGGACCCGGCTGCTCTCCATGCTGCCGGGCTGCACTCCTGGCCACCTGCATGCTGCACTGCAGCTGTGCATATGCACACGGCATTTATCAGCCACATCAGCCATAAAAAGCCAATTGCTGATGCTCTCAATTTTCCTCATATCGGTATCCAATATGGCACCTCAACCCATAATATTTAAGCCTTTTTTTTTTCCTATTTTTGAGGGTTCCCATCTTCTAACCAATAAAATAGTTCTCAAGAGAAATAACCTGTCATATTTTAATTCATACATTTCTTAGGTGACTAGTAAGAAACTACTTATAGTTCAGGATCATGTTAAGTTGTCAAAAGTGTTTCCATCTCATAATCTGCATACAGAATGTCCGTCTTAGACTAACCTTCAGTGCACCCCAGAATCAATGATCAATTGAAACGGATACATTTTGGATAAAGATACCTTTAAATCACCCTTAACATATCAGAGGAGGATCTATGTTTCCCTCTAACAGAATGCACATTCAAACATAATTTCTCTATTATTCTCAAGACATTTGTTTTCTTTTTTTTTAATTGTGCATCATAAGCACCCTTCTGACTCAAACATAAAGGCTCAATTATGTAGAACTTTACAGGCCAATTATGCCATCAGCTTCTACATCTCCACCCCTGCAATCCTTACTCAGCAAGTCAACTCCTACTCATTTAAGTAATCCCACAGCACTACAGAACACAATCACCCACTTCCTAACAATGATGGGACATTCACTTACTTGACACGGGATGTTCTTAAATGACTTTCAGTAATATGGCGGAATTTCAACATGTTTTCATGCTCTACCTGCATGAGCTGAACTTCTAGTTTTGAAATTGTTCTAATGAAGAAGTAAGGGAGATATGTTACGAAGAGATTTCTGAAAAGTTTTTAAAAAAATCTATTACATCTTAAACAATATTAACATAAATATTTTGTTCTGGTGTGTAAATACTGGAAGGAGGATAACCAATATACATATAATGTGGAGTTCCATGTTCAAATAAGTAACAAGTGGCATGTTGGTGAGGGGAGGAGGAAGGTAAGCGGGAGACGTTTCTGGGGCCTAGTTCGAGTCTAAAGCCATTTAAAACACTCCTGAGATGACCTGGACTCTATCTGGATGATACAGAACTCTTTGGGGTTTTTTTTTTAAACATCCTTTTTCCTCCATAAAAGGGTGCATTTTTGTAAACAAATCCCCACTCAAATTAATATAGAGCATCTCCTCACATGTCGCTCCAGTAATTCAAGCAATCTGCTGCTCAGGTTTTTCATGTCATAACTCTCTCCTCTTTCACACAAAGTTTTCTCCCCACTTCTTCAATTAACCAGCCCTTTCCAAGGATGCTCATAACCCCTTATCAGATTTAAAACACAACAGCTAGGGAGTCCCTTCATAGAAACAGTTTTCATAGAGAAAAACAAAATATTCTTTTCCAATGAAGTTCCCCAAGCTGGAAGGGTCTATCTTTAGAACCAGATGGGAGAAACAGACAGGGCAAGAGGAATACTGGACTGAATTTTCCTTAAGCGCTCCACTCAAATACAACCCCTTCATCATCGCACTGCCTACAACAGCTGTACAGAGAAGGTCACTCAGCTTTTCAACAGCCTTTCAGCTCGAGGTCTCACTCTAAGGCCATTCATAAACTATACTTTCTCAATAGAGGAGTAAACTGGAAACCTAAACAGGATCTGGACTTCTTTGGATCTAGAACAAAGTGAATCACAGAAGTGTAGGGCTGGAAGGGACCTCATGAGATCATCGGGTCCAGCCCCCTGCTCTGGGCAGGAACAAGTGCTGCTGTCAAATAACCCCAGCAAGGTGTGTGTCCAGTCTCCTTTTGAAGATCTCCAAGGGAGGTGCCTGCACCACCCCTGCTGGGAGTCTATTCCAGAGTCTGGTCACATGAACTGTGAAGAAGTTTTTTCTTATATCCAGTCTGAAACCTTCTTCTAGGAGTTTATGACGGTTGCTCCTGGTTTTACCCTGGGCTGCTTTGGTGAATAGTTGTTGGCCTAGCCCCTGTTATATTTGTAAGCTGCCACCAAATGCCCCCAAAGTCTTCTCTTTTCTAAGCTGAACAGTCCCATATC